GCTAGTTGTTTGAAGATGTGCCATTCTCACTGGGGTGAGGTGGTATCTCATTGTGGTTTTAATTTGCATCTCCCTTATTACGAGTGATGTTGAACATTGGAAGGCTGAGTTTTAAGTGAATTGTTTTATTTCATTTGTTCACAGACTCTTCTCATATTAAGACCTTCACATTTACTCTTCTTTCATTTCTTATTAAACGGGGAAATGATGAAGAGAGAGATAAGAGTGTGTCAACAAACGTTGACCTTACTCTGCAAGAACTTTTTTAAAAAATGGAGAATGAAAAGAGAGTTTTTGATGGTATGTATCAATTTCTGGGCCACTGTGTATTTATGATGATAAAAGAGATCTTTTGGGAAGTATCTGAGTTGTTTGCTTTTTTTTCTCCCCTCCAAAAAATAAAGATCTTTATACAATAGAAGGAGTTCCTCAACCACAAATAAAATCTGAAAGCATTTTGCTTGAAATCTAAAAGCACTGAGCTGGTGAGAAATACAGAATTCAATAAATGTTCTCAATGGTCACACTTTTTTACTAATTGTTCCATTCATGGGTCTTGGGTTAAATACTAGTTTTCTGAAGATGTGCTAATCAATTTAAATTAACCCCCAGAAATGGTAATTGATGTTTTCTCTTTTACATCTCTTTCTTTTTTAGAAACATAATCATTGTCTTCAAAAATAATTTAAAAATTGGAAATGTTTCCAATGCCAAGAAGAAAATTAGCATTAGTTCGTATAATCTTACCATGAAACAAAAATTTTGGTATATGTATATGTGTATATGTATATATGTGTACACACACACACACACACACACATATATATATATCACTCAGTAACATTTAACTAATATATATCATTCAGTAATATTTAACTAAATTGAAATTCTGTTATATATTTATTATGAATTTTATTCCACAGTCACAAATTGAGAAAATAAAGTAATTTCTGGTTAGAAGTTTGCAAATGATGAATATTGATAATAAACCAAAAAAGTGTTTCTCAGGTCACCTGCATTCTGCTGAGTTTCTGATACCAGAATCTTGTCATACAACCAATATATAACAACTAAGCAAGTGATGACCCAAACTACGTGTTGTAACACATAGGCTTTGACCTGAATCAAGTACAATTTGCCTCGGCCTCCACTGTTAATACCAGCCGACAATCTATAACAGAAGGCTGCTGTTGTCTTTCATATTGCTCTACTTCATGCCCGCTTTGGTCTGTCTCTGGGATCACTACTTCTGAATTCCTCTTAATAGCCCATGAGATTACTCAGATTGCTGAGACTGTATATACTTTTCAACAATTTGTAGTCTGGAACATATTGAGCTTAAAAATAAAAACATGCAACAAACTATAGGAGCAAATGTTGTGGATGTCTGATTGGAATAACGATTCTCTTTATTCTCTCTTTTGGATCCTCAGGAATGGCTCCTTACATTGTTCCTACTGCTTATTTTGTGCATATTAATTCCCAGGAGCTATGAAGTTAATCATTTTTCTTCATGGCAAAGCCTATCCCTGGGAGAAGTCAATTCAGTTAATATATCAAGATTTACTATTGTATACACACCTCAGACTGAAACAACCAAACAGATAATGATGAAAGCAGCCTCAGCACTCCCCTTGAGAGGTGAGTTTTCCTTTCCCAATGTCAGCGTTTGGCTCGTTCGCGTGCAGAAGCATGTGTTTAATGTGCAGTATCAGTTGTTAAACCATGTCAGTTGTCAGTATCTCTAGATTATGGGACAGATGAATATACTTTCCCTTGTTGTTAATAAGATGCCATTACTCAATATAAGTCAAAACTGTGAATGTATTTCTTGCCAAGCAAGGTAGTATCACAGTCCCTTGACCACATAATCTGGACAGAATACACACATAGGCAGACTTTGAAAAGCAGTCATATGTTGACAGGTTGCTATGGCAGCAGTATTATTAGAGTGGAACTATTGCTTTAATATTTGCTATTACAAAGAAACAAACTCTGTCTTTGCTTTCCCTGCATTTGATTATAGGAGTTTTATTCCTACCTTTTATTACCAAAAAGATGGCCTTAGTTTGTTTGCAGAGTCTATGGAAAGTATTCTGTTTCAAATTGTCCTTCATTGTTAAGATATTTCCCAATGGAAATAAACACAGTATAAAATAGTTGCAATCACTTCTGCAGCAATTTCCTGAAGCCAGAGAGTTTGGGTCCAACGCTAGCTCGGGACTGTGACTATGGCACATTGTGTGTAAACTATCTGCGCCTCTGAACCTCATTACCATCGTATGCAAACTAAGATGAACAATATCTGATTTTTAATGAGAATCCCAATTCAACTTCTTTTAAGGAAAAAGTGTTGCAGGGACTGGTAATACAGGGGTGAAAGAATTCACCAGAAACAGAACAATGGACAGATAAGGCAGACTTATTACATGCACTGCAAGAGGAGGCAGGCTCATCTGCCACAGAGAGGCTGTTTGAGGCCTTTTCATACACTGATCTTGCTGGGCTTTTCAGATTTAGGACACCTGCTTTTCCTGGCTATTTACTACGATGTGGCTCAGGATTGCTAGCGCCTGCCTTCCTTTGGAATTCACACTGGCCTTCAATGGCCACAGGTGGAATTTATGGCTGGGATCCAATAACAATTCTTGGTTCCTGTATCAGCTCAAGGTTTTATGGCCCGGTTCCCATGGCAACCCCAGGCCTCCTCTTGTCCGCTGAAGCCTCCCATCCTCTTCTGCTGGGTAAGAAGCTGGAGCTTGTTTTTAACCACAGAACCCCCAACAAAAGGAGTCTTGTTTGCCTAGCTTAAAGAACAAGAGTGTTCATGCACAAGTGGATTATTGGCACCAAAAAAAGGAAGAGCAGTCTCCACTTCTCGGTCTGCAGTTCCACATGCTACCATCACGCAGGCTGACTCTCCCAAACACAGACTTGGTTTCCAGAAACCCAGGTCTCAGCCCTACCACCTGAAAGACCAAACTGACGCCATGACAGGCTTCAGAATGCTTCTGAACCAGCCAGGCCTAAGTTTCGGTTATCAACAAGGAGCCAAGACCGAATTTAACTGTCCTAATCTTGCTCATCCCATAGCAACAGCCAATTAGCAAGTAGGCAAGTAGCCAGTACATATTAGAAAAATGCCAGATGTCCTAAGGTATGCGGCCGAGTAGTGAAGGTCACATCTTACCAGGTTAAAACAAGATAACTTTGTTCAATGTACTGCTGAGATAAAACTCCCCTCTGCTGAGCTGAAACTCCCCTCTTCTGTAATAAAAGCTCTGCCTTCCCTGAGCTCAGGACTCTCAACTTCAGCTGCTGCGTCGCTGCATGGTGGGAGCCCAGGCTCAAGCTTGCAATAAAGACCCTCATGTGCTTTGCATCAGAATTGGCTCCTTGGTGGTCTCTGGGAGATTCGAAACCTGGCACAACACACCTAGACAGCTCCAGAGGGAGCTCAGATCTTTCTTAATGCAGTTGGAAGTGATAAACCCACTGGGGCAAATGGTCCCTTTGGATTAGGGCTGCTCTCAGTCATGAAGAGTGAATGTCATTGGAGGTGGGATGCAGTATCAGCATTGCCCATTTTTGGGATCCCAGGTCACCCTGTGACCCGCATGAAGTCTCAGGATGCTGAGTGGGAGGGGGGGCATTGCCCCAAATGAGTTTTAGTGCATTTAATAGGACTGAATATTAGGCAAATAAAAATAATTGTTACGAATATGAAAGCAGGACTTAGGTGGGAATCTACAAGGATTGTCCCATAAATGAAAAGCAGCTCACCAAGCAGTTAATTGGTTTAAAAGTGGCTTAGAGAGCTTGTCCAACTTTGTGATTCTATGAAAATCTATGAATTTATATGATTGTTTCTGCATAGCATTTAGAAATGTCTCTTCTCAACTGTACTCTGCCTGACTTACTCAAAGTAATATTGTGCTTCATTTTATCTCCATAAAGAATTCTACTAAAAGTAATTGAACACAACATCCTGAAGTTGGTTTACTCCTAAATGATTAACATATTATTCTCTTCTTGTAATTGCAGGTATAGAAGTCTTAGATGAAGAAAGCATGAAAATTTTCCATCATACTATGATGAGGAAAGAGTAAGAGTCACTTTTACTACTACCTACTCTTATCATCTGCAATTCTTGCCCGGACCCAGAATCCCAACCAAGAACACAGTGACCACACAGGTAACTTCCCTGACATGATTCTCTATTTCAGTGATGCCCTAAGCCTTATATGGGAATAGATACTAGTACAGCAAGTCTCAAACTCTGTCTGCAATGTGATGTCATCAGATCAATCCATGTGTTTAAAAAATGTACATTTTTCAGGATATGTTGACACTGGAGCTTGGGGAAAGTGAGTGGCATATGTACATGTTGAAGTATGAAGTTGTAATCCCCCACTATACGAATGAATGCAAATAAATAAAATTTGATCAACAAGTAACAACAGATTTAAAAAGTATATTGATTTTTGTATGAACGTGTTATATTACATGGTGGTTGAATATGATCATATATCTATATATTTACACAGACATATGCATGCATGTGCATGATGTAGATATTACTATTATATACAACATAATTTGTTATGTGCAAATAAAGCTGTTTATGGCTGAAACTGAACAAACTTCCCTTTAAAAATTTGACTAAATAAGGGCCTCCCTGGTGACCTATGGGTTAAGTCTCAGCACTTTCACTACTAAGGCCCAAGTTCCATTCTTGACCAGGGAGGGACCCATATGGTGCAGCAGACCTCTCCTCTCCTGCCCACTGCTCCCCTCAGCAATGGATTTCAGTAGATCCACCTGTTCTGCTCCCCACTCTGTCTCTGGTGAGTCCTCTCACCCATCCCCCACAAATACCTCTTGCCTGTACACCTGTTTTTCTATTCAAAAATAAGTAAAATACTGAAAAATTTTTGAGTAAGCTTAGAAGAAAAAAAAGGAAGTTCCCAAGGGTCCAGCAGAGAAGGGCACCAGATCTCAGAGAGAGATTATTAATGTTTCACGACATTTCCAGGCTCAGTAACCAACGGGTCTGGGTCACAGTGATTGCACAGGGACAGGTGAGGGAGGTGGAGAGTCCCATAGCCATTTGAAACATGGACAGGCTATCTTTTCAGTGAAGGAATAGACAAAATAATGTCTCCTGTGGACAAAGTCCATGTCTTTTCATGGGCTCTGGATAACAAAACAGAATTCCCCTGTAGGAATTTGTAGCTCCAGGCCACCTTCCCTTGAATTTGGGGTTCTTATTCTTCTCACCTTCCTGATCTGGGGAAACTGACCATCAACAGAAATAAAGTGATACTGGGCTGGTCAGGCTCGGGGGTGCACACAAAAGAGATTATTAACCTTCTACTCAGGACACAAAAATAAAATATCTCTAAATTTATAGTATGAATTTATAGTTCAATCTGGGAAAAACAGGCATTAAAATATACCTTTCTAGAGTTGGGAAATAGCGACAAAGAGGGATTTTCTTCCCAGTGGGATTATAAAACCTGAGAATAATAACACAGACATGTCCAAAGTGCTCAAGAATAAAAGAATCAAAACATAAGACAGATCCCATAGAAACACAGTGTTAATAATTAGTTGGAAAATACAATTCTTAAAAGATATGATCAGGAACTAATTAAAGAAAAGATAGTAGCAACAAATAATTTCTCTGGAAGGAAAAAAAATACAAGAACACTGTTATGGAAAAAGGATAAATTTGTCATAAACCTACCAGTGGAACTTTTCTTTTAAAATAAATTTTTTTTCTTCAAAGGATGTGCCGATATAATTTAAACAGAATTGTTTAGTCTCCAAACTTCCAATGTTTCTCAATTTGTATTAGACCCTGCTAGCTTTTGAAAAGCATTTAGTGAAAATACAAAATCAGGAATATAAAATCAGGAAAAATTATTAATTGACAAAGAAGCACAGAGAGCATGAGAAAGTTTGTGGTGCTCATTGTAGTTTAATGCAGAACTTTCCCTTGCCTACTGAACTTCAAGAGTCATTACTATAATTTATGTTTTCATGGGCTTGAAGTTAAAATCAGAACATTTAGAACTGGAGTCACTATAAAGTCCAGTGTCCACTCACCAGAACTGGAGTAACTCATATTGATAGTTATGATTTTCTTCTTTTCTGAAAGCTCATTGTTATGGAACTTACTACTGTACTGAGTGTGAAGTTTCAAAATTCTGGAATGAAGGTTTTGTGGCTCTTCAAGCTGCCATTAATGCATCCATAATAGAAGTAAGTACAAGATGTTTTGTGCCAATTAGTGTTTAGTGCAGGCTCAAGGCATTAAAGCATTAAAAGCTTGTGGAAGAAAATGTTAATTGGATAGCCTTTTTCTTTTACTTATGCAAAGATTTCTTTCCAACAGAGTTTAGTTAAGTTGCTAAATACCATGGACAATAGAAACATTAAAAAAAAAAGAATACCAAAAATATTCTACCAGACATGAAACTAAGCATATACTAAGAAAATTGTTAGAAGAAGGGAAGTAGGCTATCTCAGAGTTAGGACTAAAGGACAGAGAAGTATACAAGCAAAAGACTTTCAGTGGAAAATGTCACAGAAAAATTCTTAATTGAAATTACATTTAAAACTAAAGCTTGGGGAGTCTCCCTGGTGGTACAGAGGTTAAAGTCTCAGTGCTATCAAGCTATTGCCAGCCACTGCAGCATGAGTTTGACTCCCTAGCCAGGGAGCTGACCCACATGGCACAGTAGACCTCTCCTGTCTCGCCTGCTGCTTTCCTCAGCAATATGCCTGTTCTGCTCCCTGCTCTGTCTCTTATGAATCCTCTCACTGAGAATTCTGGCCTCCACCCCAGTTCTTGTATGCATAAACAACAACAAAAAAATCTTTTTTTACATTTTTACATTTTTTATTATAATAGTTTTTTTATATCATTTTGTGCCTTTTTCCATCTCAGTTGTAATCCCCATGGGCTTCCCATCACCAAATCACCCATGTGCCATCACCATAGTCCCATGCTCTTCCCTCTCCCCTCCCCATTTTTGATCCCATCCCCACTCCACCCCCATAAAATGTCTCTGGTATATAGTTGTTCATTATTTCCCCCCACACACCCTGGTCCTTTATACTCCTGCTATGAGTGAGACCATCTGGTATTTTTATTTTTCTTCCTGGCTTATTTCACTAAGCATGATCCCTTCCAGCTCCATCCATGTTGCTGCAAAAGGCATGAGTTTATTAAATAAACAAATCTTCTTAAAAATAAATTAATTAAACTAAATCTTGAGGTAAGGGGGCTGCTGAATATATAAAGCCATAAAGGCCTTTCAAGCAAATCACTAGGAGATGTTTGGCAGGAGGATGATTAAACACACAGTAATTTTTGCAAACATGGGTGGCTCAGAATTCCTGGGGCAGCTGAACAGTCTCAGTACATGGAGGTAAGTAGTTCTGTTAGCATTAGGCCCAAAGGGAAAAAGGCAATTGAGAGAAAATCAGACATGTCATCCATTAAACATAAATTGTGTTTACTACATACCTTTCTTCAGATCACAACACATCACCCAGCGATGCAGCAGTTGATGTCAATGACTGGAGAACTCATGAGGCAATACCCCTTCATTGGTCAAACAGGACTCAAAATCAATTATCTTCAGTTTTTTCTGCATTGTTTCCTTTTCCCCACTCATCTGTTATGCAACTATGAATGTCACAAAAGAGCACAAGAAGATGAGAGGCTTGATGACCATGATGGGTCTTCGAGACTCGGCCTTCTGGTGAGTAGTGAATAAAGGTAGGAATTTGGGAGATGTGGCCTTCTTCAAAGTCAAGTGGTTACCTGACTGCTTCCCTTTGCTCTCTCTGAATGAAATAAGTTGGCGCTGGTGTGATGCCAGCCAGGCCAAGGCAAGGAGATGGTAGCTTCTCTCTGGCTGGAGAAAGAACATCAAGGTCAGGTTTGCAGGGTGATTGTGAAGCAGGAGTAGGGGAAGGGCCATTGAGCTCCTAGTGAAATTATGGTAGAAATGGTGACTCTGCTGCTTTAGCCATGTGAAATGGAATCCAGGGATTGGACAGGATGAATCCAACCAGATGGGACTGAAAGAGAAATAAGATTGAGGAGCCAGGAGGTCTTCTGAGACTGATGAGCAGCTATGATGGAGACATTTGAGGAAATAGGCCAACAGGTTTGTGAATAGGGGCTGGGTGGCTTGAATGTGGAATGTCAAAGGTTGGATAATCCCAAGGATGGACAAGGTCCTGTGTGAGGATTTGTGTCTAAAGGAGTGGACAGGCAGGGAGGCAATGTTTACTGTGAGGAAGAAGGAAAATAAAGGAAAGGTGAGAGGGCCAGGTGGAGTACTTATATGACAACAAATCAAAAATCTGGAAGCAAATCCCATAAAGCAACATTGACTTTTTTATTGATTTAGCACTGGACAGACATTTTATCAGAACAGTGGAACCTAAAGACTCTAGAGTCAAAATCCGAGACTAGAATCACTGTTACTGAAATCCCAGGTTCTCAACAGATAATATGTTTTCAAAATGAGGAAAACAAAGCTATGTCTGCTTAGGGTTTGTTTGTTGTTGTTGTTGTTTAATGAGAGATGCAGTGGGATGTTTGTTATTTATGTTTTTATTATTAATGTTTAATCTCTGCTTTTGTGCGCATTTAACCTCAGGTGTAGTCCCCATAGAATTTCCCACCATGTCACCTTTGAACCATCGCCACAGTCCTTTGTGCTCCTCCAGCCTTCATTCTGGACCTGTTCCCTCCCCCTCCCTGCAGAATGTCTCTGATGTATAGCTGTCCAGTGCTTGTTGTGTTTTTTTTTTTTAATTGTTAATTGCTTAGGGTTATCCTGAGGATAAAATGGATTAATATTTTCTAAGTTCTTAAAACATATTCTGGCACATAGTCATTGTATGTGTCACCTATAATTTCATTGGTTTTACCCTTATCTTTATTATTATTTCACTGTGCCCTTTAAATCATGAATTAACAAGATGGCACTGATGAAGAAAAGAAAGAAAGCTGTTTAAATGATGGCATTCAAGGCAAGTCTATAAATTATTTGGTGTCTGTATCCAAGAAAGATGAAAGCAGTTTGTGGAGAGTCAGGTAGCAGAATTCCTTTTCCCCAAGGAAGTGTGTGAAGTTTCTCACCCCTGATGTTCCCCAGAAAAGAGAACAGGACCCCAGAGTCACTGAGGGGGCTCCGCCCAACTCTCCAAGACAGGAAGAATGTGGGGAGATCCCAGAGTTAACTGACACCACAGAGTAAGACTGCAGCCAAATGTTTGAACCAAAATATCTCCAACTGGGCTGATTTCTTTTTCAGTTTTTGCCACATTGAGGTGTGTGTGTGTACGCACTTTCTGAATTTTATTTTAGGAAAAGGGAGCCTCCTTTGTGACCTAGGGTTACCCTCAGCACTGTCACAAGATGGCTTGAGTTTGATCCCCGGCCAGGGAGTGACCCACATGGAGCAGCAGACCTCTCCTATCTTGCCCACTGCTCCCCTCAACAGTGGATTTCAGTAGATTCATCTGCTATGTCTCTGGTGAGTCTTCTGCACCCCAGTTCTATGTAAAAATAAATGAATAAATAAAATATTTTAAAATAATAATTATTTTAAGATAAAAGAATGTCCCTTTTTCTTGAAGAATTCCTCCCAGAATATTTATCTTGTGTTTACATGTCCACCATGATAAACATCTGCTGAATGTATGAGTGGATGAATGAATGGTGTTAGAATCCGTTTAAGGGCCTCCTTTGTGGTTGACAACAACATTTTGTTTCCTTGTCAGGCTCTCCTGGGAACTGATGTCAGGCTCTCCTGGGAACTGATGTATGCTGGCTTCATCGTCATTATAGCTCTCTTAATGGCACTTATTATAACGTCTTCCCAGTTTGTCATTCTGTCTGGCTTCAAGGTGGTCTTCCCCCTCATTCTCCTCTGTGGATTGTCTTTGGTGATTGGTCTATTCGATGTTTTCCCACCCAGTGCTTGGCTTCCAGTTAGGTCATCATTCTCCATATAACTTTTCTTCTCTACACTCTGTTGGAGACTGGTACCAGTCAACTTCTCTACCGTTGTCATGCAAATTTATAGCATAACTTGCAAAGTGTCCTTTTGTATTTTTATAGACCAAATAATGATATTACTCTAATTTTCTATAGTAGATCTCCCTTTTATGCAAATAATTCTTATTGAAACATAAACCAACTGGATCTTCTCTCATTTTAGATAGCTTTGATGTTTCTAATGAGCGTGTTGGTAAAGAACTCTTTCCTCACCTGGCTGACCATGTTCCTGCTCACTGTCTTTTGGAGGAGTCTGGGATTTATGGCCTTGTACAGACAGCTGCCAACATCCCTGGAGTGGATTTTAAGTCTTTTTAGCCCCTTTGCCTACATGCTCGGAATGGCCCAAGTGAGAACAATCTGATGATTGTTAATGGCTTTTCTAAAACATCTTTCCTCTTTGGAATTTAGTCATTTATCTCATGTCCATACTCAACATCAAAAGGTTGAAAATCCTACTGACGATTGCTGGAAGGTTAGGAGGGTGAACTCTTATTAAACTCTTTGTGAGTGTTTTAGCCTTGCAAGACAAGCCATTTGGTAAATGGGTATGGAGACACAATTTATCATTCTTTAGAGACAATACAAAGTTCCTCTTTGGCTTTTAACTAAATATGTACTTGTAGTAATTGTAATTCTAAATTACTATTCCACAATTTGACTTCATAATTGATCAATGCTCAACGCTGGAAAAAAAAAAACACTACAAAGTAAAAGAAAATTAAAGGTTCATAGGGACTGTGGGTGCTTTGGTGGTGGAGATGGTAACATTCATCAGAAGATTCATGAACTTCTGACTCTCAATCATATACAGTGCCATAAACCAGTGTTAATTTACTTATTGAAAATATAAATTAAATGCCAGTTGGAAACTCAAAAGAAAATGAATAGGTTTGTACATCAATAGGGAAAAAAAAAAACAGCTAAATAAACGTTTAATGTGGAAACATATTAGTTGATTATCAAGTACTGTTCATAAATTGTCGTTTCATCTGATTCTCACCTTGAACTCTGCCATCTGTCAACTTAAATGACAGCACCAGGCTTTAAAACTCCATTATTTAGTGCTCAGCAAAATGACTGTTATAAGTGCTCATTAAATTGAACGATACAGACAAATGTTTTTCCCTTGGTGCTTTGTCCAGGAGCATAAATTCTCTTTTATCCAGCCATTTTCAGTGAGACCTATACTTTGCCTACTGTGTCCTACTTGATAAAAATGTATCTAGTGCTCCAATTTCATTTGGAACATACTTTTATTGTAGTTGGCCACATGCCCTTGTCTTCCAACAGATTTGAGAATTGTCAGGCGGACTGTCTCCTCGCTCACTCTGTATTCCCAGTAGGAAGCCAAAAGTAGCTATTTTATTTTATGCCGAATCCAGTGTTTAAAACATCTCATAAACCTGACTTTTTTTTCTTAATTTTTTTTTACTTTTTTATTTTTCAGCTTATACACTTGGACTATGACACTGGACTCCTCAAATCTAACCATATCCACCCACTTCATCATGGCTTTTGATATTTTCCTCTATCTGGCTTTGGCAACTTATTTTGAGAAAGTATTGCGAAGTGAGTAGAAATTGAAATTGAACAGCATTTTGTTGATTTTATTTCTCAAAGGGAGACTTGTAGCACTTGTTTTGTTTCTATATGGGAGGAACTTGAGCATCATTAGGAAGGCAATGGGCAATTAGTGCTGTGTTTCTCTTTTACTACCAGAAGGGTCAGAAATAAAGCCTGAAATTTGTTTAACTGAATCACTAAGCTTTGTTTGAACTTGGCTTGTTCGTATGTTTTGTTCGTTTTTTAAGAGATGCTTCCAAAGCTAGTTTCTAAATCAGCCTGACATAGTACTTAATTGTGGAAGTTTACAGCAGCTTTGCCTAAATATTTAGTGCAGAGGTTCTGAGTTCTGACTGTTTCAAAGCTGCCTCTGCAGAGATCCTGAGTCAATTCATGCAGATGGGACCACAGTATCTGTATTTTAAAATATCTGCTTGAGTTTGACAATGAGAAAGCCAACAGGCCATTCATTTTCATTTTTATCATCTTGCAACTAAAAAGGATATGAGTTCCTATTAGTAGAGATCTGCTTTATTCCAAAGCACCCACCTCTATGCCTCCTCTGTAAATACAAGTAACCGAATTGCTAGTTCATTTTTATTTTCTCCCACTTTGTATAACCTAAGGCAGAGCCTTTATCTTTTACCTCTGCACTTTCTGTTGAAGACAGAAAATCCAGGGCTCTCCATATGCTTTGTAATCTGGCAATTCCACTTCTGGTTGTGTAGACAAAGGAAATAAAATCACCATGACAGATCTACACTCTCACACTCGCTCTTATGGTACCAAGATAAGGAAAACAACCTAACCATCCATCTATGAATGAGTGAATGTAAATATTACTGAGGCTTTTAAAAGATGGAAATCATGTGATTTGCAACATCCTGGATAAGTGCAGAAGACATTATACTAAGTGAAATAAGCCAGACACTGGAAAGCCAGTACTACATGACCTCCTTCCTCCTGGAATCTGAGAAAGTAGAAACATAAAACACAGTAACAGTGTCAAGGGAAGGTCTCCAGTGGCTGGGGTGTGAAAGAAACAGGATGGTTGGTCAGGGGGTACAGTTTTCAGTTATGACGTAAATAAATTCTGAGATGTATGTACTGCATGGTGACGATGGTTAATAATCATGTATTCTATGCTTAGAATTTGCCAAGATAGTAAATGTCAAGTGTCCTCATCACACACAGATGGTAGAGATATATTCGGGATTTCTTTTCTTTATGAAGCTACACATACCAAAATACTACATTATTCTCTGTCAACCATGCTCGGATTTTTGGCACTTCTAGCCTATAAACTGGATATGGGGTACATGTGAGTGTCCTGGGGTGACTCTGTCTTTATAACTTGGTGACTGATCCAATCTTTTGTTATCTCGTGGCATGTAGATGAGTTTGGTCACCAGTATCCACCCTGAGGTGGTCCCCTGAGGTCACATTTGACCTACCCCTCAGTGAGCAGCACAGAAAACCCTGGAGCTGTGTCATGACTCCAACCCACTGGCTCCTAAAACCAACTTTACTTTTCATTTTAGCCAGCTCTGTAGTTACCTTCCACACCCAAATGTGTCCTTTGACTTCAGCTGGTTTTTACTTCATTTTTATGGGTGTGTTTATGTGTTTGCTTTTGCTTTTCTTTTCTCTCTTTAGTTTCTCTCAACTATAAGTGCAGAATGAGAGTAAAGTGGAATCAAAACAGAGATGAGACAACTAACAAGCAATTCAGTATGGTTGGAGTCTGCATTGTTAAATGAATAATAGATAGCAAAATAAGCAACACAAATTGAACTCCATTTGTAAGTTATATATTTCCCTGGTAGAATAAAATAGATCAAGTACTTAGAATAGCAGATCTATAAAAGCACCATAAAATGTTGATTTCCTGTTACCATCATCATCATCTGACTAACATCACCTTATGTTTATTGAATATTTCTCATGAGCCAAGCAGTATGCATGCAAAGTGAAATATTTCATTCACTTTTCAACATAGCCCTAAAGCACTCCAAGTTTTCAGGTTGCAAAAGCTGAAACTTGCCTGAAATAACTATGTGGGTTAAGGGCACAGAACTACCAAATGCTACGGATAGGATGTGTTCAGGGAGACAAGACCGTGAAAGCTGTGCCCTCCTGGGAGGGTCGTTGCCCATCCTCCTCACTCCGGGTCCACCTTTCACCTGATCTTTAAAGATCTTGATGCAAGATACCAAAGATAGCTGCAACTGTGCTTACCACGGGCCCTCAGTATTAGCTGCACATGGCGCCTGTGTTCTAGCTTCTTGCCTTTGTAGTTCAAAGATCATCCTGGTTCCCCGGCTCACACTCTAATCTGTGGAATCAGGGCAGCTGGCAGTGGGTTTAAGCAGAGGTGGCAGTGATGTCCGGTCAGAGCCAGGAAGCTGTGTTCTGATACTCTCACACCAACATGATTTGCAAAAGAGTGAAACCCCAGCTCTCCTGCACCTGAAGGTGGGCGTCATCCAGTCATCTAATCCTCCATTGATATGGAGAAATGATGATTCCATAGATAAGGAGAAAAAAAGAGATGTAGACAGCTAATGACATTAAATATAATTTTACCACCGATAGAGGCGAGGAGATTGTAAATGGAGAAAGGGCTGCATTGAGGATTTAGCGCTTACCCACCTCCTCAAGGGTAAGATTTCAGAAATGCAATATCATGGCACCCGACTGTGAAATTAAATCAATTATTAATGGATGGTTTTGACTCTAGAATTTCTCCAAGAAGCAATGGTGTGTTTCAAAGCCCAGAAGACCCAGAAGGGGAAGATGCAGATGTCCAGCTAGAAAGAGAGAGGACAGCAAGCTCCTTGACTTCCACAAATTTCGATGAGATGAAGCATGAAGTGGTTATTTCATCAAAAAGTGCAAACGGTTAAAGGGTGGGTCTACAGTTTCTATTCTCAGGTGACTCCAGGCTCCTCAAATCCACACAAATGAGGATCATGACTTTATTTTAGTAGTCAGTCAAAATTTTTACGACCAAATGAGCAGACTAAAAGTCATGTTAACTCTGTCATTCTTAGAGAATAAGAGAGTAAGGTGCAATAAAAATGGCAAAAGCTCAAAAGAGCTTGTAAATTTTAGAAACTGAGCAAAGAGGTGCACTGCACTTGGAGTGTACCTCACTATAGCTTGGGGGAGGGGCACAATACCAAGTTTAGGGTGAACTCTGCTCCTTTTCTGAGGTCAGGCAGGTTGTATAAAGTTAACAGTCTCTGAGTAACTGCTTTTTTTTGTAGGAGAGGAGTACGAGGGTGGGGCAATGGCCAATCCATGTGTCAGGTGGATATCTTTGCTCATATGTAGAAGCACGGGAGGACAATCTGTGGGAGGACAGAGCTGTTTCCCAGTTAATGAGAGGATGAAGGTCTGACATGACTTACTTGCCATTTCCAGAAACCCATCATCATTGCCAGCTGTCTACGATGGGAATACGCAGGGAGGAAGTAGTGCTGCCTTTCCAAGAGGAAACAGAAAACAGCCATACGAAATGTCTCTTTCTGTGTTAGAAAAGGTTGGACATGGTGGTTCTTGCACCTGAATCAGGGCCCCATTGGGGAGTAGCAGCACCCCCTTTTGGGTCTCATGCATGTCCATCATATGGTGATGCTCCTTTTACATTTCTAAACGCAGTGAATGAACCCACCGCCTTGTGGATGGGACATTGTCATGGCTACATGAAAACCATTAAGCGTTCTATTAAAATGAACCATGATATTTCTACTTAGTGAATGTGATGGGGTTCCTGATGGCCATTATTTCTTTACTGAAGAACTATGGGGATGTGCCCATCACATTATACACATTATACAGGCTTGGCCCGCTGATGTTGGATGACCTCACGCTGACACTACACTCAGTTCTTAACCAGGAGGTGTTGGCACACTTGGCTTCTCAGCTGTCCTGTGCCACCTCCCAGCAGTGTGACCTTGAGCAACTGACCCCATGCCCTGAAAGCTCTGTCGTTTTCATGTATGCACTCTCTGATGCCTACATATGAAATATGTTTGTGACAATTAAATATGTATATGAGTCAAGAGCACAACACTTGTCACAGAGTGAGACTTCAACTGTCCTATCTTTAATGTTACTATTACAGTCAATTACTATTAAGGGTAACTCTTTTTTTCAAGGGAGGTATTAGAATTCCTGGGACACAATGGATGTAAAAGTACATCCATCAAGGTGAGAATTGGCGGCACCAAACTGACAACTGGATGGGTAGGTGAATTCTACCAGGAAAACACCCTCCTCCAGTGGTGCTCCAAATGAATTTCTAAGGTGTTAAAATTTTGTCAATGACAACATGCCATTAAAGGTTAAATGGTTGACATGCTTCATGTAACAGAGTAATACAGTCTCAAATGATCGCATTAGCACACGCAAAGATTAATTATTGGCAATAAACTGTGGCCATCACAGCTAGATACGATTTTCAGCTGAGATTGGGTCGTTTTCATGTATGCACTCTCTGATGCCCTTTTCCAATGCCTAGTTTTTCTGGGGTTGAAAGGAGGAAGTCATCACTGAACTATGCAAAAGTGGGGGTGCAGAGCAGATTGCAGCTCCAGGAGCAAACAGAGCGCTTTTCTATAGGTGTTGCTGAAAGGCCGCAGTGGCGCGCAGCCCCTTGAGTTCCTGGGGTACTGCCCTCAGGACAATGCACTGTGGCCCAACCTGCCTGTGAGGGAGCACCTGGAAGTGTTCGCTGCCATCAAAGGGCTGAGGAAGGCAGATGCCACTGTGATGGGGTGCTGAACACAGACCAGACCACCGTGGGTACAGCTACAACTAGGAACTGGTTCCCCTGATCTCAAGGTGTCAGTTCTTTCCTCAAATTTTTTTTTTTTAAAAAGGGGGGGTGGTACAAGGGAAATAATCCTTTTACAAGGAGAGTGAAATTTAGGATATCCAGAAATGTGTGTATATCCTTTTAAAAGGAAGACCTGTCATTTCGGCAGATCACTCCAGTCAGTTTTAAGATCGTCTTGCATAGGTTGCAGAGTGGCATTTCTGAGCTCTGCTCCCCATCCTTGTCCCAGCAACTTGCCACATTGTCAAGAAGCCTGTAACATCTGTTATTACTTTCAGGTTGGAGGTGCTCAAGCTTCAGGAGCAGCTGAAGCTTCCTGTGAAGACCTTGTCTGCGGGGATAAAAAGAAAGGTAGTGTGGGAGCCCCGGGTTCCTCTGCGCACCCACAAATCCAGGCTGTTCCAGACTCTGTTCCTCTCATTCCAACTGTGCTTGTGCTGAGCATCCTGGGAAACCCGTCAGTGGTGCTTCTGGATGAGCCATAGATGGGGATGGACCCCGAGGGGCAGCAGCAAATGTGTTGAGGGGCGCTACCCCATCAGGGCAAGGATGGATGTCTTGCAGGAAATCTGTGAATTGTTTCATTTCTATAAAAACTGTCCCTAAACAGTTTCTCAATGGCGAGAGAGGCAGGGCCTCTCCATATCAGTGGTAAGACCAATACTTTGCAGAAATAAAATCATTCTCTGGGATCACTTCCTTCTCACTGAGAGAAATAAGCATTGAGCAAGTATACGCCTCCTGCATATAGCAGTGACTCACCCTGGGGAGCTATGGTACTCCTTTGTCCCACAATCCCAGTGTCAGAGACCTCGCTCGAGAATCATTCTCACTGGGCTGTGAAGGCGAGGCAGGAGACATGGTGTTGCATGGTGTCATGTGTATTTGTTGTGTGACTGCCTATTTTCTTCTACTGGGTCGTGATAACTGTGGAATTCTTCTCACTGGGTTCCCCTTTGCATAAGCTTTTCATAAACCCTCTCTGCTGAGTACCCCTGTTTCAGCACAACCTCTATTCAAGTCTGTGCTCTGTCCCTCTGCTACATCCACTTTCTGCCAAAGATTCCACCTGGTTTTCCCTCCAGGTCACACTTGCCCACTTAAGAATCCTCCCTTGCTTACTCTCTCTGCTGTTCACATCCATGCTGGTTAAACATCCCTTTCTGTGACTCTTTTTGACTGGAGCATTTCCTGAATTGCAAATCTCCCCTTGAGGACCAGGCAGGCCATCCGGGCCACCATTAAGAACACGGAGAGGGGCACCCTCCTTACCACACACTACATGGCAGAAGTTGAGGCCCTGTGTGATCGTGTGGCCATCATGGTGTCTGGAAGGCTGAGGTGGGTGCCCTTCCCCACACCTGAGCCCATCCCCAACCCCTCAAGCTACCCACGCTTGCAGCTGGAAGAGGTTGTGGACAGAGAGAACACTGTGAAACCTGAACTCCCACCAGAGAAGACCTTAAGACCTAAGGCAAAACTAGCAGCAAATCAAGTCTTAAACGTTCTATTCTTTGTCTTTTTCTTCTTTCTGTCATGATCACATCCTCCTGCCTCCAGATGCATTGGCTCCATCCAACATCTAAAAAGCAAATTTGCCAAGGATTACCTGCTGGAAATGAAGGTGAAGACCCCCGAGTAAGGGAAGCCCCTCTACAAGGAAATTCTAAGACTTTTCCCTCCAGGCTGCCCTGCAGGAAAGGTAAAGATGGGTATTGTTTTCATCCTGTGCCTTTTCTTGTCCCTTTCTTTCATTTAGAGTCATCCTAGTCCACATGTAGCCCAAAAGGAATCTTAAAAGAAAGACCTGACTTGTTGGTGACTGCAGGAGGTAAACTGGAGAAGGGGGTGCTGTGGCTGGGTGTGATTTGTGGCCCTCCAGTGGACAGGCTGTGTCTGGGGCTTGTGCTAGCTCATGTAATCTGCACTGCGCAGTAGATCCCATCAGTCTGTGAACAAGGAGATGGTCTCTGAAAGCCCCGAGAGAGGGTTTTACAGGGACCATAATAAATGGAATTGATGGTTTTCTTTGCTAGGGAGTTTATGGACAGACTAGACCTCACGGCAGGGGTAACAAGTGGCCATCCTTGGCAAGCTGATTGTTTTATTCAAAACTATTCATATTTCCAATTGATATAAAATCTGGTAAGGGAGCAATTCTCATGAAAGTAATAGAATAACAAATCAAATATTAGCTTTAGGGTCATTAAAGAACCCAGAATTTACTGCCAATACAGAGACACCAATGAACAAACATGATTTAGGAGTTAGGGGAGAAAACAGATAGTGAAGAGAAATGTCACAATGACTAGGTCAGACAATACCTTTCTACAGTGGAGAACAAATATAAAAGCAGCTGTAACTCAACTTTAAGCCCAGGAATGACTAGGAACACTTCATAAAGGTGCAAAGATTGAACAAAATGGATGAGAATGATTATCCCATAGGTATATGAAATGGGATCTTATGAAATCTAAATCTTCCTGATTTTCTAATGAAGAAAAGACAAACATATCTGAGACAAATTATTTTTAGAAAATTGTTGTTGCTGAACATTGTTTGGTGCTGAACTCCTGGTGCTTTAGAGTCTCCTAAGCAGCTACTCGATTATACTGTCCCATAGGAGGAAAGCAGGTTGAGAGGGGTGGGAAGGTAGAGAGAGATGAGTTCTCCAGAGAACAGATCCAGATTTCTACGCAAGTTGGGAAACAAAAGAAAATCACTTGCTACAACATAGAGGCAACTTGAGGGGCTGAAATCGGTCAGAAGACAAAGACCAAATGACGTTACTCACATGCCAATACAGAGATACCAACGAACAGACAACACAAAGCCCTCAACCCCTCAAGCTATTTTACTTTATCCAAATTTATTTATTTCACTTTCTAAATTGAAGTAAACATTGGTTTGTAACATATTGGTTTCAGGTATGTATACTTATAAATCAGCATCTACATTTAGCACATTACAATGGCTGTCAAAAGTCTAACTTCTGTCCATCACCAGATAATTGACTCCTTTTACCCAATTTACCACCCACCCCACATCCCCTTTCCTTTCTAATAATCAATGTTTTGTTCTTAGAATTTGTTTCCAATGTTTCCCTTTTTCAACCAGATGTACAACATTAAGAAAATATGGCTTCTGTCTTCCAGGCACATCATACTCCAGCTTCTATGCTTTCATATTCTTTTCTGCTCACATTTGCTTCTCTCTCAAAATCTTTTCTAAAACTTTTCTCAAAACTATGGGGGAGGATTTTTCCCACAATTAAAAAAAAATAATACAGACTTCCAAGATCCCTGAGTGATCAAATAATATATCACACAGAACAAGAGATGCTGAAAGGAACAGGGGAGTTAGGCAACATGTTTAGAATGGCAGGAGCCAACTGTCTCGAGAGACATCCCTCAGCTACTTCACACTAGGAGAATATCTACAGCTGTGCCATGAGGGGAGAAGAAACTAAACCGTTACCGCCACATAATACGGAGGAAATAGCAACATTCTGAGAAAGGAAGATTTAATTTTTTTAATAAATTCCAGAATTTCCTCCCTTTTTTGGGTAATTTAAAATGCATGTCTTCCCCCCAACAAGTGTTGGAGAAGGTATGGAGAAAGGAACCCTATTACACTGTTGGTGGGAATGTGCATTGGTGAAACCATTTTGAAAAGCATCTGGATTTACCTAATCAAACTAAAACTGGATATTCCATACCACTCAGCTATCCCACTCTCAGGCATCTAGCCATAGACTATGAAACTCTTGACAAAAACGTTGTATGCCCCACAGCGTTCATCGCAGAATTGTTTACAAGAGCTGGGCCGAGGAATTAGACTAAATGTCCACTGATGGATGATTAAATCAAGGCTATGCATCTCCTGGGGTGTGACATGGCCATAAGAGAGGAGGAAATGAAGCAATTTTCAACAAAATGGAGGGAATTTGAGAGAATTATCTTCAGTAAAGGAAGTCAGAATGATAAAAACTGGATCTTTATAGAGCAGACCATTTGATGACATCACTTTTAAAACCCAGTGGACATCAATAAGCATCTTAGTCCCTGAAGTTAAGAGGACAGGGCCGATGGTGGTAGGGACAATGTCTCAAGGAAACTAATCACCAAAAAAAAAAAAAAAAAAAAAAAAAACTGGCGTCAGAGAAAATTTTAAAAATTTATGTATTTGTTTTCATCCTTCTCTTCCTACCCAAGAAACACAAGACTTAAACTAGTAGTTTGTAGAGTTGAGATTTTTTTTACATATTTTTTTTTAAAGATTTATTTATTTGTACATACAGAACTGGGGTACAGGCCAGAGGCTCAGGGGCGGTGAGAGGCTTCACCAGAGACAGAGCGGGGAGCAGAACAGGCAGATGGACGAAGTACACTGCTGAGGGGAGCAGTGGGCGGGTCAGGAGAGGTCTGCCTCGCCATGTGGTCTCCTCCGGGGCAGGCGGGATTTGAACTCATGCGGAAGTGGCTTTAGCTTCTCAGTGCAGTGCTTTAACCCGCTGCGCCACCAGGGAGGGCCGAGATTTTTTTTTACATATTTTTTACATTATTCTTCATTTTGTACATTTCTTCATCTCAGTTGTGATCCCCGTGGACTCCCCACCACCACTTCACCCCTGTGCCATCACCACAGTTCCGTGCTCTCTTCCAGCGCCCATTTTGATCTTGTTCCCCTCCCCTCCCCCATAGGATGTCTCTCGTTTGTAGTTGTTAGTTGATGTTCTTTTGCGGATAGAGCTGAGATTTTAGGCTTTGGAAACATGAGTGATTTAAGTCTCGTGCTGAGGACTGAGAAGTAACTGTACCCAGGTTCTAGGCATGCAGAGGTCTCTGCCTTCAGTCAGAGAACTGATGAGGACACTGCATAGAATGTGCTCAGAATTCATGTGTCTGAATTCTGAAATCTGACTTTCTGGATTGGTTGGGGTGGTCTTGAAACCAAGGAGAGAAGACTGCAGTCCTTAGATTTCCTATCTCTACAATACCAGAGTAGACTCAGAGAGGTGGAGGTGAAGGAGACCGGGGGGTGTGCTAGAATGCAACCTTTCAGATTCAACAGACTGTCAGGCTTCTCAAGCCCTGTCCCCCACTTATTTTCACCCATTTGCTTCATTTCTCTGGTTGAATGTCTGGTTGGCAACTCAAAACTCTTTGCCCTGCTTTGTTCTTCTGAAATTGTCAAGTTGATTTATGTACTGGTAGAAGACCTCTCTCCTCCCTTCCCCCCAACTACAAGGAATCTTCATGAATGCAAGTATCCTGTCCTTCTTGTTAACCACTGCTTTCCCATGGCCTGGAATGGGGCTTTCCCCATAGCAGGCAACTACTTGATAATTACTAAATCAACTAACTAAATACCGCCCCTGCTTTTCTCTATCCTAGTACTCACTATCATGATGCAATCATCTGTCACTAAGTCCTTTTCTCCACCATATCATCATATTTGAATGGAAGAACCATGTCTTATTAGTCTGTGTTTTCCCAACTCCCAATGTAGAACAGATGTTCAAAAAATGTCAAATGAGAATTTTAAGTAGTGTCAAGTAACTAAAAAAGGAAGGGAAAAATTTTTTGGGACAAATTGTTCCTCAAAACAAGATAGGTGGATAAAAATAATTTAAATATTGTTTGACCAAAGAATTATGGACATTAGAACAGTAGTAACTGATACTTGTTGAAAATCTGTGAGCGTGTGTCAGGATAGCCTAGTGGTGTAGGCGCCAGACTCAAGGCGAAAATCTGTGAGCTCCTGAGCTCCAGTAACAAAGCATTTCTGCATTATTTATCCACTTATGAATACCTTATGTGACAAACACAGATACAGTCACAGGAACATCAAAATAAGTTCAACACTCTCAGGTAGGGAAGGGAAGAAATTCATGTTATTTAAGCATTGTCTGTCTGGTAGGCATTCCAGCCAGGTAAAAGGATGATGACTGCTACTTTACCAATAAGGAAACTGAATTGCAGAGTTTAAGCAATTCACCTGTGATCACACTATTGGCAGAGCTGACAGAACTCAAGTCTGTGGGGTTCCAAAACCTCATGTTGATTCCAGATTATCCACAATGAAAACAGAGCATGATAAATACAATGCAAATGCAGTTCCATAAAGCCATTGTAGTAACAGCATCCAGTAAGTGTTCCCTGGCTCTTCCTGGTTATGAGTGAGAAGGTTAGAGAAGAGAAAAACTCGAGGGTAGCTTTTGCTGAATTTAGCTTCTAAAGGATGTGTAGACATGCAATACATCATCAAGGGTGGAGAATGAAAAGCAGAGGGAGAGATAGGAGGTCATAGAGACACGAATCCCGTTCTCATTCCAATTTGGAGAAGGCGAAGATCAAAAAACTCTAAGATAAGTGCTTTTAACTTCCTGGGGATTTGCATGGTTGAGAAGGGGAGACCAAAAAGTTCCCAGAGTCATCCATTGTTCCCTGAAGCAAGGCCATTTGACCACTTTAAACATGATTGTGTCCGTGGTTTGTGGCCGTTCAGTGTGAGATCTTCTTGGGATTTTTGCCAAGTACAAACCACAGCTGCTGGTGTTTAGCTGCAGTTGTGAACTCCGTGGGTTTCTTGTGAATGACCTGCCCCCTCATTTCTCTGAAAAAGGAAACTGAATAGCAGAAACGCTTAAAGGCAAGGACTTCTGCTATTTCTGTGTGAGACTGTGATTTCTACATGCAC